CTATCTTGTTCTTCAGGAATGCTCTAGTAATTACTAGATATAGGGTAGGCTGGTATATAAAAGAGGGGAATGTAATGTGTGCGTAGATAGTGAGAAATTGAACTGCAGTCAGAGAGCACGAGAGACGTTACAGCGTTTGTTTAGCGCGATTGTTGAAGTTGAGTGTATCGGTAAAGTTAAATTCGGAAAGAATAAACTAGTTTTATTAAGAAAGGACTTGTGTCGCTTAAGTTTCGTCGGAACGAAGTTACGGAAAAATCAATTAACAAACGGAGACGTAACAGTACTTTAAAATCTTTGAACAGAGTAGCTTTACAATTTGGTAAACGGTAAGATATAGTAATATACAGTTTTTACTTTTTTGTTATTTTGTCTCTAGGTGAAGAAGATAAGTAGCGTGTTATTAAGCTTGTGAATGGGACATTAGATTACGGTTAGGATGCAGGACTGCGAATCCAAGGGTCCACAGTTTAAGTGGGAAATCAGATTAGGGCCGGGCGTGGCCTAGTGATTAGGGTGCAGGACTGCGAATCCTAAGGTCCACGGTTTACACCCCGTTGTCGCAAAATCTCGTTCAACACTTTTTGAATGACAATCAAAACCCATTGTTTGATTAGTACTGTTGACTAGTTATTTTTCAATTTCCACATGCCCCCTCAGTGGCACAGTGGTATGTCTGCGGACTTACAACGCTAGAAACCGGGTTTCGATACCCGTGGTGGGCAGAGGACATATAGCCCATTGTGTAGCTTTGTGCATAAATTCAAACAAACAAACCAATTTCTACCTAGTCTATCAGTTCAAAATTAGGCACGTTTGCGAGTCGAGCGCCCTAACCTCCTGTTCCATGCCGAGCCGTTGGTATACTGATTAAAGGCTTTGTATTAATACTGTTCAAAGTGATACGATCTTTCAGTGCGTACTAAAAGGTAATGTTTCTGTTTTACAATTAACTAGTACGAAAATTACATTGATATGCTGGAGGAGGGAAAACTCGCACCCACCCCTCCCCGTTTTTTTTCTTTCCTCTCAGTTTAACTAAAAGAACGTAAGGCATTATATGATTTTCACAGCATATTTTCTTGGGCTGTTTCAGTCGTGACGAGCTCATTCATACCTAAGTGGGACGCGGGATATCCCCGCAATTTTTTTTAGACGTGTATCATTTTATGCAAGGTCGTGTTAGTGTTGCTAACAGTGAAAACCAGATTTTTACAGTTGTACAGTAAGTAAGCGGAAAACGCTTTTTTTTAATTACTTTAATTTTCTTCCCATTGTCTGTTATTGTTACACCCTGTATTAACGTTTCGAGTTTCTTTGATCGAGTTATAATAGTATTAAGGTGGGCGTAAATGGATATATTAATGGTACTTATGTTGTGTAAAATAATGTGTTGTGATTTGTGGCTTCGGAAATAAAATGATTTATTCTTTGACTAAAGGAAATGAAAAATTGAACAGTAGATTCAGCTCCGTTGTAGCAACTGATATTACACATTGTAGAAGCACACTGTTTGTTTGTTTTGAATTTCGCGCAAAGCTACGCGAGGGCTATCT